TATTATTTGCCAGGATTTTGGCAGCACCAGGCAGTTAGAGTTCAGATCGAGGTCCTGATGTAGAGGGGCAATACCCGTCCCAGAGAGATTCCAATCTAGGCTCATAATCCCCATGCCCCAATTAGATAACTTGCTGGCCATGCCAAGTGTAGAAATGGAGGGCTATTTCCCCCCAGTGCTGCCCCATTCCCTAGAGCATCATGGAAAAGTTTGTTGAAGTATTCAGTAGTTAAATAAAAGGTCTCATGCTCCAGGGCTGAGATTTCAGCTTCTTCTACCAGCAACTAATTCACATGGAAAAAAGCTGGAGAGACAGAGATAGGCCATGTGAAGTGCAGAGAAACCGATGCATCTAGACAGACATTTTCAATGTAGAATAATGTTCCAACTCTTGCAAGGCCTGCAGTGGCTCTTTAAGATAAATGAGGAAAGGTAGAGGCTAGGAAAGGGAGGCCAGGGAGGTGCAGTTGGCTGCTGCTGGCATGATTTATCGGTGCCGACTGCTCATTTTAAACCCGTCTCCTTTTGCAGCTTGTTTACCTGGTTCTGTTTTGCACAATATTATTGAACAGCCAGATAAAGCAGAACAGCAGACTTAGCTAAAAATACCAGCGTGCTTAAATGCTCCCCCTGCATTGGCAGAGTCAGGAAAGTAGGTTAGCAATGAATCGCCCTTTGGATTTTCTCCACTTCGCCCCATCCCACTCTCCATGGGCTGCCTTTGAAATGAAAAGGTCATTCCCTGTAAACCCACCCTGCCCTTCCTCAACCAAGATGGATCTCACCAGGAGTGTTTCTTGCTCATTCTAAAGTGGCAGCAGGACTTCTCATTTCAAGATAGCAAAGCAGCTCCCCTCTCAGGTGAACAGTGATCCAGCAATATTTTTACCTTTAACACTACAGGCAAGACCTTTGCATATGGCATGGCCTGATGAGCATGTGAGGTGGGGAAGCATCTGTCCACTCATGCTAGTGCCACTGATGCCTCGATCCCACCAACTTGTGGTCATCTGCAGTTGACAAAGACAAACGTACACCTTGAGGCTCTTACAGATGCCAAAGTTTCCAGAAGCAGAAGCTGGGAATTTAGTCTAGTTCTGTTCATCAGTTCTGAACCACATAACAAGCAAACTGCCTCTCTTTTTATTATTGACAGGACAGGCACTGGATCTAGAATCGGCTAACTGACTCCCTCTGCCATCTCAAAGAAGCCAATGCCCTCATGTAGCTGATGCCAGCCACTGTTGGAGATGGGGCATTGCACTACATGAGTCATAGATAGGCACTAGTAGGGCGGTATCCAATGGGCCAATAAACACTCTGCTATCTTACCTGGGATTTTGCTAGAAAAGTTAGACTTTGGTCAAGGTTGGAGCAATGATCGGTCATGTCGAAGCTTTGCAGAGTTTGGTTAACTTCTAAAGATGCATTTACTCTCATTTTATAAATGGGTTCTTCCCAGGACCTTGAACTCCAAATCCAGAGGGAGCCTGTTCTCATCCTATTCCTGGTCCTAATCATCAAAAGGTCTCATGACATCACTGACTTGATACACTTTGGATAGCTTGATCTGCTCAGGTGAAGCATGGATCATCTCTCTGCCCTGGACTTCATTTACTTAATGCTCTTAACCCATTTCCACAGTGGTTATGAGGCACTTCATGAGCTCCTTCTTCTATACTTAGCACCAAGAATCTGTCCCAAGCTGTGCAGAAGAAATGGTCTTTGCTCTCTGGGAGAACTAACAGGCTAAATCCTCATATCCTTTGGTCTCCTCTTGCATTTGCTGTCTGAGCAGAAAGAGAGATGCAAGCTGCATCTCTTTCCATTTGTAGTTATTGAGTTATTATACTCCCTTTGGGATGGATATTGCCCCCCACATCTTGCCCTAAAAAGTGACTTAATGGGAAGTTCAGGAAGCAGAAACAAAAGGAGGGGAGGAAGGGAAACAAACAAACAACCTCCCCACCAAGGCAGAGACCACCCTGGGGACAGCGGTATTTAAAGGGAAGGGAACACAACTGTTGAAGAGGTTTGACAACAGACCTTACCCTGTTGACTGGATGGGCACAGAAAATCCCGATTGCTAGTTCTCTCCCCTGAGCTTTCCCTGTTAATGGCAGTTACCATGAGGGGGCAACCCTGAAGAGGGGTCTGGATATAGCATCTGTGTGAGAGTGAGAGAACATGAAGCTCTAAGACAGTGGCTCTCAATCTTTTTAGACTCAGGGCACCCCTCAAATAATGCCAGCTCTGAGCATTCACTTATTTTTTGATGACAGAATACTACTAAAGTGGTTTTTCCTGTGGCAAAAAGAAAAACAACAACAAAAACCCTCCAAAAAACTCAACTTCAGAAAAACTGCAATAGGTCAAAATGCTTGTCACTGTGGATTCCTAATTGACATCCTTAGGTTTAATCTTGTGACTGAATGGGTGCATGTATACATTCATTAATGCACCGTAGTTACTCTGCATTAAGTTTAGTACCTGGATAACCAAGTACTAAAATCAGCATGCAGTAACTGGTGCTACTGCGCGGTAGTGCTAGTGCATGGCTTTTTAGTGGTGTTATCTGCGCAATAGCTTAATACTACTGCATAGTAGTGTATTGCCACTATTTTTGCTGTGACACACAACTGTGCAATAGTATTAGGCTAGTGCACAGTTAGAGTCTTATGTAGACGTGCCCAGTGAGTAGGTGTTAGTGTACCTAATAGTGCCAGTATTGCACAGAACCCCTAAAATAATCTCATGGCAGCCCAAGGTGCCACAGCACCCCTGTTGAGAATTACTGCTTTAGAAGCATGTTGCCCTTGATGGAGATGTGATGGAGTTCTCTACTTTTCAGTTACCTTGAGACCCCCGATGCTTATAAAGTGGTAGGGAGCTGAATTTCCACTCCCACAGAGGCTACAGGTAGCACAGCTATTCCCCTTTGCTACCAGCAGCCAGAAATTCTTCAGTACAATTTGATTGCTCCCCTACATACCACCTCTCTTGCATGCAGCAGCTGCCCCCTCATTACCATAATAGATTCAGTCACAGTGTTCTCCATGCTGCCAACACAGCCCTGCCTCTACGTAGGAGAGGTGCCCTTATGTCATCCAACAGGCTGCCAGCTTCCTTAGCACTAAGCAGGCAAGAGTCAGTAGTCTTCCACTCCCCCCTCAATGTCATTGCAATGTGTGCAGTACTCATTCAATGCCAGCCATGTTGTTCCTGTCACCTTGCAGGCAGAGCTTGATGGTTGGGTAACTCTCCTAGTCTGGATTTCTTAGATATTAGACTGATGGATGCGGTCTCAGCCAGCTCAATTTGTCCCAGGTGGTGCATTAAAGAATCACTGAGGGGGATCTACAGAGGACGGAGAAAACGCCATGAGGTGCCCTTAGATTATCGCTGCAATCAGTAATAGTCACTGGAACCAAGCGTTTCTGTAGGCAGCGAATATTCAGTAGCTGACAAGGAGGGTCAGGTTTGACCAGAGTTCTGGGAGCCAACAGGATGGGGCAGAGCTCTCAGCAACAGATCAGCTGGAGGTCAGGAAGGATCTTCTGCCATCCCTCATTTCCATGACAGTGGTCTCCCCTACCCACCTTTATTCAACCATCACACACACACACACACACACACACACCCACCTCCCCCCAGTACAAACTCTTCAGCAGCTAGAACAATTCTGGGATTAGCTTTCAAGGGTTTATGTAATTCAAGGTTATACTCACATAACCACTGGCTAGGGCATTGTTGCACAGTACTGCTCTTCCTGCTGCTGAGTACAGCCCTGTAATATGCTAAGGGCAGGTCTCCAATATTAGGCTTTTGAATCCTCACAGATAGCAGGTCTGGCAAGCCAGTCTGCAGGGGGCATGGGCTCATATGCTGGGCAGTTTAAGCGGGTCAGGAGTTAGCGCAGACTGGCTAACCCAGCCTATGAAGATTTTATTCCAGTCTGTCACTGGCTTGGTGCGTGTGATCCTGGGGCAAATCGTGGAGCCAGCCATCTTATTTTCTCACCCATCTTGTAACACTTAGATCTTTTCAACCATCTCCCAAAGCACCTTACAGCATGGTATCATTGCCCTGACTTTACAGATGAAGAAAGTTAAGGTGGCAGTGAGCTGTCACCTTTGAGATATATCATATGGTAAGGATGACCTGAGTAACATAGTAAGCACAGCTGCTGTTTGAAGGCATATCTAGGAGACTCTCTACCTGCTTGGTATTTGACTTGGTTCAGGAGGTCCTTTGTTAGTCCCTACATTTCTAAGTTTTAAAATCCTCCCGTCTCTAGTATTAACACTCTTAAAGCGTCATTTCCTTGCAGTACCAAATCCTACAACTGGACACACTTTTCATCTCCATCCCCTCTCCTACCCCTTCCCGAGAGGGAGTTTCCAGTTTTCACCCTTCTTTTCCCCTCACAGCCACCCACCTCAACCCACCTTCCTCCCCCTGCATAGGAGACTGGTACCACAGGGGTTAAGTTAGACATGATACTCATTAAGTAGGCATATTATAATGGCAGAGAGATAAAGAACAACAGAGGTGGTGTGTTGACTCATTGTTCAGTCAAGTTGACATTTCATGAGTTAAGTGATCCAAACCAGGAAACAGACAGTTCAAAAGACACCCACTTGCAGGTATTAGGCTTTGAAACAGGAAAGTCATCAGTTTTCCAGGGTACCTTATGCTGATCCATGTGTGTCACAGCAGAGCCTGTACTCTTATGGCATGCACATTGCAAGACAAAACAGCTCTCTTTTTCAGCTAGCCAAGATTGCCCCTTCCATTCTGGCATCACATTATCTTGGTTTTCCCATTACTACTTTGCATGAGATGTTTCCAAGTTTCCTGGGACTTGATTTTAGTTATATCCACCCATGCAGTGTGTTACACTCAAACACTTACAGCCTTCTACCCACTTCAAGCCAGCACAAACACACAAATTGTTACAGGGAATCTGTCTGACAGGAATAATTTGGAAGACTTCTTACCATCTCAGAGGAACTGAAGAGCGTGAGAAGATGGGAATGGCATTCCAGAACTGTGGGAAGAAAAAACATTTTATTGTTGGCACGAAGACTGAGCTGGGCAATACGCATGGTGTTTTCAGGTTTCCTTTGGCACCCACAATGCTACAACTCCTATGAAAAAGATGCTATTGCCCAAGTCCCAGTTGAGGAGGAAGAAAAAAAAAAGAAGGAACTTGTTCCAGAAATTTAACTCTCTCTCAAGAAAGAACCATGTTTTCTGGAAAATCCTCAGGTGAACAGACAAAAAAAAGTCGTGTACAACCACTAATTAAATCTTTCCCTCTGTGTGAAAAAAATAAAAATGCACATTTGGCAGCACAACACTGGTTGGTAGCTGCTTCTTATACCAAGTTGTTCATGTCAGAGATCCCCTCCCGAGTTAAAAATGTTTTGTTTCAGCATCCTTGAGGCCAAACTTCACTTGAAAGGATGCTCTAAAATTCCATTTGATTTTATTTAAACCTAATTAAAAACATATCAGTTCTGAATTGAAGCATTTAAGTCAAATGATTTTTTTTTTTAGAATCCTCAAGCAAATTCTGTTTGGAATGGGCACTAAGCTAGAAAGTCAGTTCTTCACACAGCTTTGAACCCAAGAATGAGGCTGAATGAAGCAGACAGTTATGATGAAGCACCTGTGACTACAGAAAAGCTAGAGTTGCACAGCCACCTTTAAGTGCCTTGCAAAATATCCATGCATCACATCATACACCATTTCAGTCATTCCATCTCTAGGCACTTCCCAAAATAAAGCCCCAAGAGCCATGGAGAGAAGAGGCCCTGGGCAGCAGGGCTCCTAATTAATGTTCAAGTTGGGGTAAGCAACACCCGTGGTTTGGGTTTGGGATTATCAGGGGTGGGCAGAGATCCCAATAGTGCTCAAGGGCATGCAGGGGTCTTGAGCCTGCCAGGAACTATGAGCCCAGGACACGGAGAGGGCTTTGGCACAAAAAAAAAAAAAAAAAAAAAACAGGCTCATTGCCCAGAACAGGGTGGAGGAGACGGGGCCAGGGGCCCAGGCTGACGGAGCCAGATCAGGCTCATTTCTCAGAGCAGGGCAAGGACAGGGCCAGAAAGCCCAGTGTCTAAGCAGGCCTGAAACCAGGGCTAGGTGAGCCAAATCCAAGTAGGAGACAGGGTCTGGGCCCAGGAGCTCGGTCCAGTGTAGTGGACTGGAGCTAAAGGGCAAAGCAAAATGAAAGGGACGGAGGCTGAGAAAGCCAAGGAACAGGGCTCCCCCATCAGATCTCCTCTCTTGAACACAGGTGTCCGTGCTCATTGCCTTATGGGCTAATTACGTGGTTCTCACTCCCTTACACTGCACCCATGCCTCACAGGTGTCACTCGTTCGTGCTGACATGCGTCCCTCCGTAGGCCCCCAGCCCCAGTCTTTGCCCGGTCTCTGGTTATGACCCCCAGTCTTTGGCCCCCTCTCTGGGCCCTGGCCCCACTCCTAGGCCGGTCAAGTCTCCAGCTGTGGCCCTCCTCAGCCTTTGGCCCATTTCTGGGCCCCAGCTCCACTCCTGGGCCAGTGAAACTTTCAGGCTCCCTGGCCCTGCTGACACTTGGCCCCCCCCTGAGCTGAAGACTTCTGGGCTCCTTGGCCCCTCTCTCCCTTCAGGGCCAGCTGGGACCTACTCACCTCCCCTTAGTCCCTTCCACAAACTGCCAGGGTTACTTACTGCACCCCCCAGGAGCCCCAATGCCCAGGAGCACCACGTCACTCTGCTCTGCTCCCCGTGGCTCTCAGGGCTCAGGCCCTGGGCTTATATGCTTCTTATGCAGCCTCTCTCCCACTTAAGAAGTGACAGGCATCCTGTCACAGCCACCCCAAAAGCTAGCAAACCCTTCCAGGTGCAGCACCAGCATATGTTAGCTGAGCTGTGACCAGCCCTTTACCTGGACAAGCACCACAGAAAGGAGACTAAAGGGACTGTAGTAGCATAGAAGAGAGTGGCACAATGAGCACAACACATCAACATTTCTTTTTCACCTCCTTATCTCCCCAAGGTCTTTGAGCCCATTTCCACAAGTTTTTTCAACACCTCAAACAAGTTCAAAACATCCTTAAAAAGCAGACCTTTTGCCCAAAACATCCTTTCAAAGTGCCAAACCTTTCCCCCCCAAGACAGCAGCCATCCCTCCCACCTTTCATCTGGAGCTGTTTTTCTTCCTCCAGCTTCTTTCAGCAGTACTTTTCTTCCTCCAGGAAGGCACTGGCTGGGTTTGACTTAAATAGACTCAAACCCCTCCCACTCTCAGCAGCATCAGAGAGGGCTGTTTAACTGGAGTCAGCTGCTGGAGGTTTTCTTTCTTCTCCCCACCTACTATGTGACGGTTCATAGTGTTAAACTGGCCATGGCTCGGTTCCATTGGCCGTAAGTTTGCATTACACTCTCAAGCTCTTTGATTATGATTCAGAAAGCAATATGATACCACACAAGGCATGCAGTGATAGCAAATATCCAGTGTTCCCATAAGCTCCCACCAGCTGCCCTCTGCTTTTCCAAAAAACATCTCTGCTGACATTCTGTAACTACCTGGAGCCCGGTCGGAGCTCTCTAGTCTCTTGCTCAGGCTTCCAGTGAAGGACCAGAGAAGCAGAAGGTGGGTTGAGTCTCACAACTGGTAACCAAATATTTCCTTGCTCTTTCCAGCAAATGGGTCTGCCCTTCTGAAGATTCAGGCATGATGGATCTTTCCAGGCCCCCCTGGATCAACATCAGCACATCCTTCACGTGATCAAACAGGTCTTGCAGTTCTATGAGGAAAAGAACCTTCCTGTTGATGATGTCCTTGCCCTGGAGTGTGCAGCAAGGAATAGGCATGTGTGTCCCATCAGTCATCTCTGTAGGGTTTTGGAAGCCCCTCCATGCACAGCTATCAATAGCCCCCTATGCATTGCCAAGCCCTATGCCCCTGAATAGCAGCACCCTTCTCCCAGCAAGGCAAACCTCTGTGGCAACTGCTCCAGTATTCTGTCTGGTTAGCAGTTAACTGCTAGCAATCAGGAGTGATGGGCTGATGGTGGCTTCAGGTGGTGGTGGAGGTTGAGGGGAGGTCTCATTCTGGTACTCTGCTAATGCAGCTGTGGGGTGAGCGATAGAGATTTCTAGGAGAGTGGACTTCTAAGAGTGCACTATTGCTGCCAGTCACTCCATTCTGCATCACTGCCTGTCCCACCATTCACTGCAAGTTGGCTGCCCTCGGAGCAGCTCTCCTCTGAGTAAAGCTGCTCTAGATAAATGCTCTGCTGAAGAAAAGCTTGATTTCTTCCTCCTCCATTGGCTGTATTGTTATGGTTCCAAAGCCCTATGAAACCACAGAACCCGATCCGTCCACTTGCATAGTTCCAAATACACATACATCATCCCGTTCCTATCCATGACTTCCTGAGTCACAGCATGCAGAACAGTGTCCTCCATGTGCCTGGCAAAAGAATGAAGATGGCACTGCCAAAATGAATGCGTATCAGGAGAAGGATCCTTGGAGTTTGCTGGCTGAATTCTCCCAGTCCCAGAATGCTTGTAGCTTCCAAAAGACATTTCACCATGCCTGAGTGAGAAAAACCACACAACACAAAGTTACCCAAAATGCTGAGCAGCTAATTTGCAAAAGAGCAGAGCTGTGTGTATAGGTAGTGATTAACAAAAGCACTCTATGAGGAAGCAGTGTGGACACACTCTGGTTTGTAGTAGTTACACCACTGCCCTTAGAACAAGCAAACAAATCCCATGACCCATAAAGGCACGGCCTCCATCTCTCTGTGGGATTATTTCACAGATGTCATAGATTTCATAGACATTAGGGCTGGAAGGGACCTCGTAAAATCATCAGGTCCAGCCCCCTGCCCAAAGGGCAGGAAGTCAGCTGGGGTCAAAGGATCCCAGCAAGATAAACATTCAAATGTTTCTTGAAAGTGTCCAGAGTAAGTGCTTACACCACCTCTGGGGGGAGTTTATTCCAGGTCTTGGGGGCTTGGACAGTAAAGAAGTTTTTGCTTATGTCCAGCCTAAAACGGTTTTGCAGGAGTTTGTGACTGTTGGACCTTGTCATCCCCTGGCGTGCTCTGGTAAACAGGTGTTCCCCCTGATCCTGATGCACACCCCTTATGTACTTATAGGCTGCTACCAAGTCATCCCTCAGCCTGCACTTCTCCAGGCTGAAGAGTCCCATAGGTCGCAGCCTCTCTTCATAAGGCCTGCTCTCTTGTCCTCTGATCATGTGCGTGGCTCTCCTCTGGACTCTTTCAAGCTTCTCTACGTCCTTTCTAAATTGTGGAGCCCAGAATTGGATGCAGTGCTCCAGCTAACGCCTCACCAAGGCCGAGTACAACAGAAGGCTGACATCCTGGGTCTTGCTCGAGATGCATCGGTAGATGCAAGCCAGAGTTTTATTTGCTTTGTTAGCTGTGGTATTGCACTGGTGGCTCATGTTCATCTTGTGGTCAGTCATGGCCCCAAGTCTCTTTCGGTCATGGTGCTAGCAAGTGTAGCATTGCCGAGCCTATAAGTGTCTCTAGTACAATGGACTTGTAATGTTGGCTGCAACCTCCAGACTGCTACTAAAACACAAATAATTAAGCAGTATTACCACTTAACATAAGGCTTTGCTTTGTTAGGCAGGATTTTCATGGATTTCCCCTTTTTACTATGAGAAACTGAGGCTCAGAGCTCAGTCACAAAACAAAACTGGTTTAGTTCCCACAGCTGAACCAGCTTTCTTGGCTCCTAGGGCTGTATACTGCAAAGGCTTTGCCAATGTAGCACTGGCACAGCCCCCTAAGGGTGAGGGAGCTTCAGCCAGCAAGGGGAGCTCCAGTATAGTTAAACTATTTCCTGGAATGACATCAGGAATGCTGGCCAAAGGACTAGTGCTGATATGAAGCACAGTCTACACTGGGGGTGCTTTGCAGGCCTAACGATGTCACTCAGAGGTAGAGTTCTGTGCCCACCAGTGTACCCTAATGACTGATTCATATTACCTTGAATACAGCATAACAATGGGGATTCACATCAGAAAAGCAGAGGAAGGAAGGCAAAGCATGTAGACATTTCTTCTTCAAGTTGTTCCCATGTCTTCTAAGTGCTTATCTCAAGTGCATCAGTCAGGCTCAAAGGGACTGTTCATGCATCCCTTCAGACTCCTTTTGTGTGGAGTGATGGGGCCCAGAAACAATATTAACTCAATACAGTAAGAAATTAATTTTTTTGTATTATGATTAAACCCAGACCTCCTTATCTTCCAGAAAGGGGCGGGGGAAACCCTCTAATATAATTATTTTTCTCATTAATACAAAAAACTTGGTTTCTAACCTGCTGGATTACAGCCTGCAGCAAAATGTCAGACACTCCGTTCTCTGGCAGCCTCAAATCTGCAAATGAAAATTAATATTTAAATTGATTTAAGTTTTTTTCCTCCCATAATCTATTTTCTTTCAGCGTCTAATTTCCCCACTTCTCTTTGAGTTTAGATTCCCTGTATAAATTCAAGCTAAGATTACGTTGCCATTGATAAGAACACAGGATGTACGTTCAGAACGTCCTTTTCTTATCTGGTCTGTTTTGTTTTAAAGGGGCTTGGGAGTGGTCTTCTCACCGTATCTGTACAAAGTTAGCTCCAAAGTCAAATATTCTTACAGGTGAGTGGACCCTTGCATCTGACCTGTACTCATTATGGGTCTGGGACCTGGCATAGTAATCCACTAGAATTCAGGGGTTGGCAACTTACAGCCTGAGAGCTGTCCCTGGCCTTCAAAGAGATTTTACCTCACCTACCAAGCCCATTTTTACAAGAACATGGCATCTAATGGCTGCCTCAGTGAATTGCTTCCTCCCACCCAATGAGGATGGAGTTGTTACTGAAAGGCTGCCCATCCCTGTACTAAATGAATGTACCAAACCAACTTGATAGTCTGTTGCACTGTGGCACGTGTTTTCTCAGTAAGTTGGTAAAGAACAATTCCCTGGCAGCCCTCTGCAAAATGAAGGCAACTTAATTAAGGTTGTTAAGGAAAGTGGAGAATATCCTGCAAAACTAGATTTTGGGTATGTCTACACATGCATTTATGCTGGTTTAAATTTACTGCGCAGTAATTTACTGCACAGTAAGTAGGAATAGGCCGGCATCTACACGTGCACACATTAAAGCGCATTAACACTGTGTGTGGACTGACTTGGGACTAAAGTGCATTACTGTGCAGTAACTAATAGGCGTAAAGTTGATACCTGCATGATACACATATCATGTGTAGACGTTTGCCCATACTGCACAGTAATTTCAGATACTGCACAGTAAATGCACATGTGTAGATGCACCTAGTGGTTGAAATTTTCAGCACTTGCTGGGTCAGGGCTGGCCAACCCAGCCACATGTCATGGGCAGCCTGTGTGTGGCATGCAGCAGACTGGGGAGAGAGCAAGACCACAGTGACAGATGGGGCAAGGAGCAGATAACTAAGCAGCAGGTTAGACAGGAAGCATAATTCATAGAGCAGAAATCAGAGCAAGAGATCAGGCAGGGGAAAGGGTTTGGCGTGGCACACGGGGAGGGTGTGGGGCTTACCTTGTGTCACATCTGGTATAAATGTTAGCCTTCAACAGCACTAGATGATTTTGCTTCAGAGTGTTTCTTAATTTCACTGCGGGGTGTTCACTCTCTCTCTTAGATTGCTTTGGAAATATTACCCCAGATACATAACAGAATAGTCAAATGCAGCGTAGTAGTAATATGCTGCTGGTGCTAGTGTGAGACACTTTCCTGTGTTTGGTATAATCACCAGCGGTGGCTCTTTACAATTTTTACCCCAGGGTCTTCCCCAGCTTTTTCTTCCAGTTAGATGGGATCCCCTTCCATTTAGGATTTTGGAAAGGGAAAGGTGGTTGTGATACCCAAGCTGAGGTGGTGCATCGGATGCAGATTAGCACTGAAGGATGATAACTATATGTGTCACCACAAGCAGAACATACCCAGTGGAGCTCTGCATACCCAGCAGAGCTTACTTGCTGTGCTCCCAAGAGGAAGACTCTCAAAGAAAGCTGAAGAAAGTCTTCCCCAACATGGTGCCATAGCCCTGAACAGTCCAAACCCAAAATCTCTTTATTACTCCACCTCCACTCCCTAACTTAGGCCAGTTCCCCTCCAGTCCTGTCCTCAGCCTCTCCCCAGACACAGGCTATAGCATCCAGGATTCCCAGCTGATCTCCTGCATGAGTGGTGGCCAAGCCCAGAGGACTTAAGCTCTTGACAGCAGTTCAGTCAGGCAAACACCCAATGCTGGAGGCAGCACCAGGACCAGTGTAGGG